TAGGTTTATATACTGGGAGATACTAGGTTTATATACAGGGAGATACTAGGTTTACATACTGGGAGATACTAGGTTTACATACTGGGAGATACTAGGTTTATATACTGGGAGATACTAGGTTTACATACAGGGAGATACTAGGTTTACATACTGGGAGATACTAGGTTTATATACAGGGAGATACTAGGTTTACATACTGGGAGATACTAGGTTTATATACTGGGAGATACTAGATTTATATACTGGGAGATACTAGGTTTATATACTGGGAGATACTAGATTTATATACTTGGAGATACTAGGTTTATATACTTGGACATACTAGGTTTATATACTGGGAGTTATCAGGAGATAGCAGGTGTCATGGTCGGTATAGATAGAAGTACACCCCCCCTTCACTGTGTTCGGTCATGAAGAAATGACAGGGGGGGGGGGGCTGAGTCGGGCTGTAGCCTCTCTTCAGGCTGATGGAGGATGGGGGAGGGGAGGAGGATCTGGTTTGTATTCAGCTCTCATCACCTGATGTCTTCATCTTCATATACACATATATACATATTTATGTATATGTGTATATGTATTTAGTCCGTGAGGGTTTAGGGCTGTCCCACTGTCAGATTGTCAAGTGTTTGAGTCTTTTGATCCCTTTACGAACCCTTAGCCTAAGGGAATTACCCACAAATCATTGCAATCTGAAGTTAAACACGGGGTAACCAGTGGACGCATGGAGACGTAAAGAAAAAGGTAAACAAAGAGGACGGCTCACGTCTGTTCAGCCTGGAGTATTACATGTACTCAGAAACATTAAGGGTTAAAGATGGAACAAAAATAAACATGAAATCAGAGAATATTAGGGGGGACATTGGGTTTGGGCCTCTGTTCTCACCATCACTGTAGAACCAGCAGGTGGAGGTGTGTCAAGAGGGGGCAGGGCCTGTGATGATGTAATCAGTGACAATCACTGAAATACGGAAGCTCAGGAAGGAAAACACAACCTCAGAACCACCAGGAGTACATCCCAAGTCTCTTAATTGTCGTTTCCTCGATCCTCTCTTGAACCGGAAGTTGTTTCTGCGCCGCCATATTGACGGCCGTCCCAAAGCTCTGATGTAGCTCGGAGGAGTGAGGATGGAGGATGGAGGAGGGACCTCGGAGGAGCCATGAGCGAGGAACCAGGAGAACAGACTTCCAAGAAGTCTTTTAACGGCCAACACACCCCCTTATTGTTCATCAGTCATGTGATTGGACGCTGCAGCCGATCGGACTGATGACTGAGTTTAACACCAGAGTGAAGACGGATCACAGATTAAACTCTAGTTTATATTTGATTAGGTTTCTGATTCAACATCTGGTTTAAATAAATGTTCATTGTAGTCTGAACAACAAAAGGACCACAAACAACTTTCTTCATTTATTAGAAAGATTTGTGTTTTCATGATCTGATGTTTCCCTCAATAACTTTATTATGGAAACAATTAAAGTCAGAGAGAGCTGAGAGACTAAACACTTTATACATCATTCCTGAGTGTTTGATGAGTTTTATCATTGAAGAGAAACAATAATCATATTCTGGGTTATTTAATAATGACGTCATAATCTGAATTTCTAAATGTACAGACGCAAATAATTCATAAATAAGACGATCGCATCCCGCCGGTAGAAATGGATCCTGATCTTATAAACAGAACACAGGACACAGCTTGTTAACAGACTACAGAGAGAAACACCTCTACAGTGGTGATTACTGTGTCTTTATTAGTTATTAGTATTATTAGTTACTATTATTAAGTACAGTGATCATGTGAACAGACACTAACTTATCAAAAGTCTCTCCAGCTGTTAAAGCCGACTGACAGCTGATTCAGCTGTCATCAGCTGATCAGCTGTGATCATCAACACCATCATCAGAAACAGACGTCGCTTCACGTGACGCAACTGAGGAAAGGACGTCTCATGTCTCTTAAAACATATTTCCTCGTTTCCTCTCTCCTCGCATGGTTTCCTCCATGCATCCCTGGTGGGAGGGACTAAGACGCAAGGAAAGGACACAAGTGAGGGAAACAGGGATGCAATTAAGAGACTTGAGAAGTATTCATATACTTGGGATGTACCCCTGGTGACCCTGAAGGAGGTCAAACAGGAACCTGAACCAGGTGATATCTCACGGCAACGCAACTACATCCCGTTACAACAACTAGATCCAGTTACAGCAACTATATCCAGTTAAATCAACTAGATCCAGTTAAAGCAACTACATCCAGTTAAAGCAACTAGATCCAGTTAAAGCAACTAGATCCTGTTACAGCAACTAATCTGTACACACACAATCACACACATTAACACACACACACACACACACACACACACCCTCCTGTAAGTGATAAATAATTTAAAGCTGCAGTAGAAAGTGCTTTGTCACCACCAGGCCGCCCATCCCCCCCTCCGTGTTTCAGAGGGATTTACATTTAATCCAAGGTGTGATTGAACGACTTAAAGTGGGCGTGGTTTAGTGACAATACAGAGCTGTAGAGGTCGACCTTCAAACAGCTGTAACGACGACATCACTCTGTCCTACTGTTATTACAGACACTTGGAATAACCACAGACATTCGACTGTCCTACTGTTATTACAGACACCTGAAATAACCACAGACACTAGGCTGTTCTGCTGTTATTACAGACACCTGGACTAACCACAGACACTAGGCTGTCCTGCTGTTATTACAGACACCTGGACTAACCACAGACACTAGACTGTCCTGCTGTTATTACAGACACTGGACTAACCACAGACACTAGGCTGTCCTACTGTTATTACAGACACCTGGACTAACTACAGACACTAGACTGTCCTACTGTTATTACAGACACCTGAACTAACCAGACACTAGACTGTCCTRCTGTTATTACAGACACYSGAACTAACCACAGACATTAGACTGTCCTACTGTTATTACAGACACTGGACTAACCACAGACACTAGACTGTCCTGCTGTTATTACAGACACCTGGACTAACTACAGACACTAGACTGTCCTACTGTTATTACAGACACTGGACTAACCACAGACACTAGACTGTCCTACTGTTATTACAGACACCTAGACTAACCACAGACACTAGACTGTCCTGCTGTTATTACAGACACCTGAACTAGCCACAGACACTAGACTGTCCTGCTGTTATTACAGACACCTGGACTAACCAGACACTAGGCTGTCCTACTGTTATTACAGACACCTGAACTAACCAGACACTAGGCTGTCCTGCTGTTATTACAGACACCTGGACTAACCACAGACACTAGACTGTCCTACTGTTATTACAGACACTAGATGTTGCTCAGAGGCACTGAGGCAGGAACTTAGCCTGCAGAGAGAGAGGGCGAGAGAGATACAGAGACAGACAGAGAGAGAGAGAGAGAGAGAGAGAGAGAGAGAGAGAGAGAGAGAGAGAGAGAGAGAGAGAGAGAGAGAGAGAGCACGTGACCTCCAGAGCCTCTCTGTCCAATGGAATGAATGGACTGTAAATAGGAGCCAATCAGGAGCGGGGGGCGGGTATAAAAGGCTGATAACCTATTTAATCAGCAGCAGCAGAACCAGATCCGCTTCAGACCTCTTCACATCAGACCTAACGAACAGGTAAGAACACCTCTAACCAATCACAGCTGATCAGATCATCGATGCTCCCGGTGGTCGGCTCATCACGCGGGAGGAGGCATAAGACACGTCAGAGGGTCTCAGAGAGCTGGGGGGTTAACGGGACAAAAGAGGCTGCGGGCAGACAGACAGGCTGCTCGTTGGATGTGTATCGGTTGTTTGCATGCCGCTGTGCTGCACAGAGCCTGTCTGTCTGCAGCCTGTCTGTCTGGCTGCATCCCAACGACCTTGCAGTGCGTCCTGCAGGTGCTGCGCAGATTATTTTAACGCATCTGCGATTTAATGCCCAGCTCCGAACTAAAGGCTCCTTAAATACAGCCTGACGTCATTGAATCATCTTTTTCTTTTCTCCATCAAACCGTTTGTCATCTTTAACGAACTGCGCATGCTCAGGTCGGTTGTATTTCGATGTACTTTAACGGGATGATGACGGATTATGAACCCGTTGATCTGGGACCGGTTTGAAGGTGACCGAGCTCTGCAGGGTTAATCCCGGTCTCGTGCTGCGTCACTGATCCCCTCCAGGGGATCCCGATCCAGTCCGGGCCGAACCGGGTCATTTACCTGCAGAGGTTCTGATGCAGCAGCTGGTCTGAACCACAAACTAGATCCTGGATCATTTCAGGGACACATTAAGATGAAGGTTAAATACACACACACACAGACACACACACACACATTAACACACAGACACACACATTAACACAGACACACACTCACACACACATGCAGGCACATTAACACACACACACACACTTTTATTTTCAGATTTTTAAATTGTGTGATGAAGATTGTTAATGAAAAATGCTAATAATATTATTCATAATGTTGTTATTCATATTATTATTATTATTATTGGTAATACTATTATTATTATATCATTATTATTACCAATAGTATTATTATTCATAATAATACTGTCTAAATGTTTACATATTCAGTAGAATTAGTAATACAGTATTTAGCTGATTTTGTTTGTATAATTATATTTTATATACAAGATTTAACAAAGAAAAAACAGAAATGTAGAAATTTTTGCAAATTTATTAAAAAAGAAAAACTGAAATATCACATGGTCATAAGTATTCAGACCCTTTACTGTGACACTCATATTTAACTCGCATGCTGTCCATTTCTTCTGATCCTCCTTGAGATGGTTCTACTCCTTCATTGGAGTCCAGCTGTGTTTAATTAAACTGATTGGACTTGATTAGGAAAGGCACACACCTGTCTATATAAGACCTTACAGCTCACAGTGCTAGTCAGAGCAAATGAGAATCATGAGGTCGACTGAATACTTATGACCATGTGATATTTCAGTTTTTCTTTTTTAATAAATTTGCAAAAATTTCTACATTTGTTTTTTTCTGTCAAGATGGGGTGGAGTGTACATTAATGAGAAATAAAATGAACTTTTTTGATTTTAGCAAATGGCTGCAATGAAACAAAGAGTGAAAAATTTAAAGGGGTCTGAATACTTTCCGTACCCACTGTATATTTAAGTTATTGAAATGTTAATCTTTGTTAAATCTTGTATATAAAATATAATTATACAAACAAAATCAGCTAAATACTTTATTACTAATTCTACTGAATATGTAAACATTTAGACAGTATTATTATGAATAGTAATACTATTGGTAATAATAATGATATAATAATAGTATTTCCAATAATAATAATAATAAATAATACTAATAATAATATGAATAACAACATTATGAATAATATTATTAGCATTTTTCATTAACAATCTTCATCACACAATATAAAAATATGAAAATAAAAGTGTGTGTGTGTGTCTGTGTGTGTGTATTTAACCTTCATCTTAATGTGTCCCTGAACTGATCCAGGATCTAGTTTGTGGTTCAGACCAGCTGCTGCATCAGAACCTCTGCAGGTAAATGACCCGGTTCGGCCCGGACCGGATCGGGATCCCCTGGAGGGGATCAGTGACGCAGCACGAGACCGGGGTTAACCCTGCAGAGCTCGGTCACCTTCAAACCGGTCCCAGATCAACAGGTTCATAATCCGTCATCATCCCGTTAAAGTACATCGAAATACAACCGACCTGAGCATGCGCAGTTCGTTAAAGATGACAAACGGTTTGATGGAGAAAAGAAAAAGATGATTCAATGACGTCAGGCTGTATTTAAGGAGCCTTTAGTTCGGAGCTGGTCATGCATCAAAAATCTGATGACGGATTTAAAACGACAGTTAGACAGTTAATAAACGTACAGTTAAACGTTAATAAACTGTTCATAAACTCAGTCAAACATTAATAAACTGTTAAAAAAAACGTACAGTTAAACTGTTAATAAACTCAGTTAAACTGTTAATAAACTCAGTTAAACTGTTAATAAACTCACAGTGAAACGTTAATAAACTCACAGTTAAACGTTAATAAACTCACAGTTAAACGTTAATAAACTGTTAATAAACTCACAGTTAAACGTTATTAAACTCAGTTAAACGTTAGTTTGACAGTTTATTGAGTTATTCTGCCAATAAACTGACGTCAGAAGCTCATTCCTTTAAACTGTTCCCAGGTCAGCAGCCGGACGTCATCATGCCTTTCGGAAACACCCACAACAAACTGAAGATGAACTACTCGTCGGAGCAGGAGTACCCCGACCTCAGCCAGCACAACAACCACATGGCCAAGGTGCTCACACCTGAAATGTACGACAACCTGAGGGACAAGGAAACGCCCAGCGGATTCACCTTGGACGACCTCATCCAGACCGGCGTGGACAACCCAGGTACCAAGTTACACTTCTGTAAACCAGGTAGCATCCTGGACCAGGTTCCATCAAACACAGACCAGGTAACCCCCTCTTATCTACACCAGGTAACCCCCTCTTATCTACACCAGGTAACCCCTTATCTACACCAGGTAAGCCCTCACAGCCAGGTCTCTTTCACACAGAGAGATCGTGTTCCTTCAGCTGCAGCTTGATAACTTCTTAATTGGATTGACTCGTTACGATCAGGTTAATTTCTGCTCGTTAATTCCTCCACAGTGACGTTGTGAGTACTTCCTATCTGATCTCCTGAATCAAATCACTGAATAGAGAAAGCAAACACAGAAACAACCCGAGACCCGAGTCAGAAATTTGGTGCTGAACAGGAAACGATCGATCGGCCATTTTGTGTCCCTGCAGGTCACCCGTTCATCATGACGGTGGGCTGTGTCGCCGGAGACGAAGAGACATACGAGGTCTTTAAGGAGCTGCTGGACCCGGTGATCGAAGACCGCCATGGAGGATACAAACCATCAGACAAACACAAGACCGACATGAACCATGACAACCTGCAGGTAAACAACAACAATAGAACCTGGGCCCCGTTCCTCGTACGTGGCTAACTGAGTTAGCCGGATAAAATTCAGGATAAGATTACATAAATCGGGCTTTTCGGTTCCACGAAGCAAGTTTGGCAAAATCACCATGGCAACACATCCATAAGCTTGAAGCTGCTCCAGCGCAGGCTAACTGAAGGTAGCTGGATAAGCTGCCACTCCCCCGGAAAACATGGCAGCTCCTGTCACATACGGTAGTCTAATGCGCTTGCGCATATACCGGGGGTTATACGGGAGTTCCGGAAATGCATGTAAAGTGAGACACACGGTGATCCATTAAAGCAGCTGAGCAAACTAAGAAGCCTCTATTGCATTAATGTACAGCTCCCTTCCTCAGAGATCCACTGATGATGGAGGATATTAGTTAGATTAGCGTTTTATAGGGAGAGAGTTCTTCCACATCGCCAAGATCCGTTATCACATCACGATGACTTCCTATACGAGCGCTATCCATTCTGCCCACAAGGAATCATTTATTTACAGACCTTCTGGAGCATACATTGAACACCACACGCTGCAGCCGAGCACTGATGTCTCACACACTGGATGCAGCCTTGAGCTGTTCTGCGAGTGGTACATTGTTGTACAGTGTCGGCGATGCGGAGAACATGGGGAAAGCCGCTGCATGCCGTGCTGTTGGTAAAGTTTATTCGGCGCTTAATAAACTTATGGATGTGTTCATTACATCACCATGGCACATATTGTACTGACTCAGCATTCTGAGTAATGTGTGTGTGTTAGTGTTTACTTGCTCCCATGTCCTCTTGATGGCTGCGTTGCATACATGAGGGTTAAAGCACTCATAATGATATGACAGTGTTATTAGTACACCAGCTTATCATTACTGTAGAACATGATGAAGGTGGACTCATGATAAGAACAGAGAGAATCACACACTATTTATCTTCACTGCTTCAGTTGATTGAATGTCTGATGATGAATAATACACACACACACACTGATCCGCCCACACACAGATTCACACACACATATTCAAACTAGTTCTATATGGTGATCTACACATACATGTATATACACATATATATATATAGTACATGATACATGAGGGCATACAGTACATATATCCTCATATTAATGAGTATCAGTTAGATACTCTTTGGGCTTGTTTTTATTACTTATTCTGAAAGAGTTGACATCATTATTGTCGCTATAGATCTCATTGGATGATGCATTCATTAAGCCTACTGCCAGCAGCTCATTTAAAGACATATCATCTGATTGATTGGGGTGATGAGGCATTCAAATGAGCCGATACACTTACGCATTTAACTTGTCTGTGATATTTTGCGTGCTTCTTGTCTAGCCCTCGCAGCGGTGGTGGTGTTATATTTAGCCGTGATTATGGTCTTGAATTCCTCATATGCGTTCATGATCATCTCCTGCTCGTCAGCGGAGTAAAAAGAGGCTCTTTCTTTGACTTTATTTAACATTGTACTGTTAGAAAATCATGGTTTCGGTGATCGACGCTTCCCCCTTTTGAAGTAGGACGGGCACGCACAATTATCCTGATCCTGATCGTCTGGTTCCAATTAACGAGACTGTTTGAGAGGATCAGCCTTGGAGAAACCGACATAGCCTGACTTCAATCATCTCGTTAATTTAGGCTGCTAATAGGACATTTGATCGACTTAGTTGAACCACGTACGAGGAACGGGGCCCTGAACAATGACAACCTGTAAGTAAACAGACTGACCTGAACAATTGGACATAGAGTTAGTTCTGTTTAGTTGTTGGTCTCTACTGGTCTCTTCTGGTCTATTCTGGTCTCTACTGATGGTCTACTGTGTTTCAGGGAGGAGACGATCTGGATCCAGACTACGTTCTGAGCTCCCGGGTCCGGACCGGTCGGAGTATCCGAGGCTTCTGTCTGCCGCCTCACTGCAGCCGCGGAGAACGCCGAGCCATCGAAAACCTCTCCCTGGAAAGTATGACATCACTTCCTGTTTCCTGCTCTTTAATGCTCTTTAAACCAGTTTTAAAACATAGTGAAAACCAGTTAGAAGTTGTGATGAAGAGCTGAAACAGATACACCCTTAATCCGTCTTTATTGAGATGTTTACCCAGCATGCCTCAGTGATCCTCAGTCAGTAGATGTTTACCCAGCATGCCTCAGTAAGCGTGTCAGTAGGTGTTTTTACCCAGCATGCCTCAATGATCCTGTGTTATATAACTCTAAGTTGAGCTGAGACTCTTAATGAGGATCTGAGACCTGCTTCACCTCCGAAGGAGACTAAAGAGAACCAGACCGGCTGAAACCAGCAGCACATTATCTATTGTTACAACCCGGCTCCAACATAAGGTAACGAAGATGAGTGATAAAAGTAATAAATACACATTTATTTAAAGAATACAATCTAAACTAACAACCAATCAAAACAAATAGAGCCATCAGGTCCTGGTTCATATGTGGGTTTATAGAGCCATCAGGGATAGATAGATATCTCTATCTGTCTGTCTATCTATATAGATATAGATATACACACACATTGTTATGGTCTGGCTCTTGAACCACAACAAAACGTAACGAAAACTCAGGCACGGTGCTAAATAAAGAAACCACCTTTATTAGAAAAAGGTCGGGACAGTTCAAAGTGCACAACAGGAGAGCATTCTCGCAGCATCCCAGATGGTGTAACTGCTCCCTCTAAACACTCCGTGTAGCACACCAGGTGTCAGGGAAAAGAAGCCAGCCCCCCTACCGGATGGGGCGGGCCTTGTAGGGCAAAGGTGTTGGCCAGCTGCCTCCAATCTTCCTGATGGCCCTGGGCCGTCACCCCCCCCATAAAGACAGGGTCCCCACAGGCCCCTGGACATCACCCATGCCCACATCTCATTCCTTCAGCTACTTCGTCATCTCCCATCTCAGCTACTGGTACCTTGAAGCAATCTTTAAGAGAGACAGACAACAAAGTTGAAAGAAACATGATGCACAATTACTGACATGGGGCCCTGGACAATGCGTCAGCAACAATATTGTCCTTCCCTTTAATGTGACGTATCTCGAGAGTATGCCTGAAAAAACAGGGACCATCCTATGAGTCTCTGATTTGGACAGTGTAGTGAGTTCAAAAATGTTAAAGGGTTGTGGTCCGTGTAAACTACCACAGGCCCTGAACCCACATACACCTCAAACTGCTGTAATGACCAAATCAACGCCAAAGCTTCTTTTTCTATTACGGAATAGTTTAACTGGTGCTTGTTGAACTTCTTGGAGAAGAAACTCACGGGTCTGTCAATACCCAATTCGTCCTCTTGCATCAGCACCCCACCTGCACCCACGTGACTGGCATCAACTTGCAGTTTAAAACTGCTATCCATTCGTGGTGCAGCGAGAACCGGAGAATCACAAAGGATCAGCTTTACAGCATCGAAAGCCCTTTGACAACCAGCGGACCAAATATACTCCACCTTACCCTTCAGTAGGTCTGTCACCGGCGCCACTACAGTCGAAAAGTTACGACAGAAAGCTCTATAATAACCAACCAAACCTAAAAATTTCATCAGTTCTTTCTTTGTTGCCGGCGGCGGATACCGGTCCATGGCTTGCACCTTTGCCCGCAGAGGGCGCACCTCTCCTTGCCCGACCTGTCGACCCAGGTATGTCACGGTTGCTTTAGCAAACTCACACTTCGCCAGATTAACAGTAAGGCGAGCCTCAAGTAAGCGACCGAACAACGCTTTTACACGCTCCATGTGTGAAGACCGCGAATCTGAGTACACAACGACATCGTCTATATACACTGCACAGCCTTCTAACCCACGAACAACCATATTCATAAGTCGTTGGAACGTAGCAGGTGCGTTTCGCAACCCGTAAGGCATGACAGAGTAAGAATACAGCCCAGTTGGAGTAATAAACGCTGCCATTTCACGCGCCCTTTGGGATAAAGGGGCCTGCCAATAACCCTTTAACAGATCAAATTTGCTGATGTATTTTGCAGCACCAACCTGATCAACGCAATCATCCATGCGAGGTAGGGGGTAAGAGTCTGGTTTAGTGACACTGTTGACTTTCCTAAAATCCGAACAAAACCGAGGGGTATTGTCCGCTTTTGGTACGAGCAAACAATGTGACGCCCAGCTTGAGGATGACGGTTCAGCGATGCCGTTCTTCAGCATATACTCAACTTCAGAATCTAAAAATGAACGCTTTACCGCACTGACTCGATAAAATCGCTGTCTTATCGGCTTTGCATCTCCTATGTCGATATCATGTGTGTACAAGATGGAACATCCCCAAACAACATTGGATACCCCCTGATAAGCTCGGATAGCTCTGTGTGTTGTGAAACAGACAAGTGGTCAAGGACACTGTCTAAGCTCTGCAGAACTTCAGAGTTTTTCAATCGGCCTGTTAGCAACGCTGAATCCGGATTAGGCAAACCATCCTCACAAACATGCTCCCTACCCGATGACGTCGTGTTGCCTACACACGCCGGGTGAGCGCTATCCATCCCTACGCTCCGCTCCTGAGACGAACGTGCATGATATGCTTTCAACAGATTAACATGGCACAGTTGGTGATGTTTTCGACGGTCTGGTGTGGCAATAAGATAGTTCTGCTCTGAAATCTGTTTCACTACAGTATAGGGACCCATAAACTTAGCGTTAAATGGCGAATTTATAATGGGCAACAAAGCCAAAACTTGGTCGCCTGTACTGAACACCTGATGCTCAGCTCCATGGTCATAAAGGCGTTTCATCTTATCCTGTGTTTTAGCCAACTTCGACTTTGCCAATTCCCCAGCTGCGTAAACTTTATGCCGGAACCCATTGACATACTCCACCAGATTTTTAGGTGGCTCTGTTTGTCTCCAATCCCCTTGCAACGCAGCCAACGGACCACGCACAGTATGACCAAAAACCAGCTCATTAGGACAAAATCCTGTACTTGCTTGCGTTACTTCCCTGGCCGCTAGCAACAACCATGGTAACCCTTCCTCCCAATCACCTTTCATCTGCACACAGT